GGGGGGGGGGCTGGGGTTTTTAATCCTCAGTGTTGTCCGTCTTGTTCATTAGTCGCAGAAGCAGGCCCTCCCTCCCTTTTGCTGCTTCTTTTTTTTTTTTAATATATTTTATTGATTTTTCACAGAGAGGAAGGGAAAGGGATAGAGAGTCAGAAACATTGATGAGAGAGAAACATTGACCAGCTGCCTCCCGCACACCTCCCACTGGGGATGTGCCCGCAACCCAGGTACATGCCCTTGACCGGAATCGAACCCGGGACCTTTAAGTCCACAGGCCGACGCTCTATCCACTGAGCCAAACCGGTTTCGGCTTATGATTCTATTTATATGAAATTTCTAGAAAAGGCAAAACTAAAGGAACAGAGAATAGTTCAGTGGTTGCCCGGTATTGGGGGTCAGAGTGGTGACTGACTGCAAACAGACGAGGAAACTTAGTTGAGGGAAGTGTTCTCAAGTTGGATTGGTGGGATGGTTGCACATTGTTAAAATTTACTACACGTCATTGAATAGTACACTTAAACAGTGTGAATTTCATAATATGTAAATTATATCTTAATTAAGCTGTTCTATGACCAAAAAAAAAAAAGAGTATGTCTTTTCAACATATAACTGGGAACTCCAGTCTTATGACTTGGTATTACTAATACCAAGAATAATTATCTGTAATATTTTATATGTTAATTTATTTATTCCACCAAGAAGCTGAAGGTGCAATTAACCCCTCATACATTTCTTTCACTACTAGCAAGGAATTGTGTTTTATGAGTGTCTAACAAATTAGTAATAAAAAAGTACATTGAGTACCAAAAAGCACAGATGGGCACAAATTCGATCGGGTGTAACTCAAGACTATATCCCACCTGTGACACCCCCATTTTTCTCATCCCTGTATTATGGTGGAATCCTGGCTGTCACTCTGGTGCCAACTGCATAAAATAATGATGTTTTATTTTTGTCTCAGTCACCAACCAGCCCACTGTACAGAATGAAGTCTGGGAACCGAGTTGCAACATTTATGATCTATGTGAGTCTTGCTCTGAACCAGGGCTTCTTACTTAAGGACTATTTATGTCTCTCTCCTATTTTATGGGTTTCAAAGCAATTTCAGGTGTTGATTTTATCTGATACTTGCAGCTGAAAAGTCTCTAGGAGATACAAAGAAGTGCAAATCAAGACAAAACTCTTCATATTAAGAAAGCACATCCATAATTCTAGAATATGGTTGTGAAACGCCTTAGCTGAGGTTACCTAGAGAGGGACTGAGTGACCTGGGAAAGATACAATCAGTAGTTCCTATGATGCCCAACTTTCAAAACTAATTGTTATAGTCTAAACAGTGTTCTGTGAGCCACAGGTCATGACCCATTAGTGTGCTGTGAAATACATTTAGTGGATCTGGTCAGTATTTAAGAATTCTGAACAAGAAGAGAATAAAATGAAATGGAAAATAAGAGGGTATCTTACATTTACTGTATCAGTGTGTGTGTGTGTGTGTGTGTGTGTGTGTGTCTCTTGGGTTGTGATATAACCAATGTTTCTTTCTGAGGGTCTCAAAGTTTGAATCTACTTATTGTCGCCTTCAATAAGGATGTTAATTGTAAAGAAAGGGGGAATTCCTAAATGTCCTTCCTCCTGTGGCCCTGCAGGCAAACACCCATTGAGTAGGCTTCTTTAATTCCTAAATTGGGTAATTGTCTTTCAGTATTACTCCCAGAGTTGAATAGGAGAACAGGGGAGGGAATCTATGCACAAATGACAACAGAGGTCAGGTAGGGCCGAGTAGGGCAGTCGGGCTCTTTCAACTCTGGTCCTTCCTCTGGTGTTTCAGCTGAGCTCGGTGGAAGCTGGAGGAGCTACAGCCTTCATCTATGCCAACTTCAGCATGCCTGTGGTCAAGGTGAGTGGGGCTCTGGTCCCAACAGATGGTTGTAAGGTGAAGAACTAACATTCTAGCTTTCATGTTGTCTGTGCTTGCAAGCTTATTCTGAGGGGATAAGGACAAGAAGAGGTCTTTCCCTGATTCCCGTAACAAAGATAATCCCTCAGTCTTGATGACCACATGTTATTGTGCCTCTATTTTTATTTACACTTATATTACAAGTAGATGATTACATGTCTGCCTTCCCTATTATAGTAGAACTTCTCTATTACAATAGAACATAAAATAGAACTGTTTTTTTCTTAATCTTCGGATCCTCTGCAGCACCTGATCCTCCCCCCCCCCCTCCACCCCCGTCATTGGTTCAGTAAACATTGAGGGCTGGAGGCACTGAGGGTACCAGGGAAAACTCACAGTCCTTGTCCTCCAGGAGCTCACAGAGAAGGTAACAGGCAGTAACAAGGTATGGCAATAGAGCTATGAAGTCATGTGAGCCACAGAGGAGGGCTAGTAGTAAGGGGTTTGTTTAATGAATGAATATTTCCCCCAAATTTTAGACCAGTCAATCAATCAGCGATGGCAGCCCTTATTAAATTCAGGAATGAAATTAGGACAAATAAATGAGATTGTGCCTATAAAGCACTTGCCACAGCGCCCTGCACATCACAAAGCATCCATTAAGTAAATGCAGGTATCTACGAATACTCAGGGGTTGGCGAAGGTTACAGTAAGTCTATAGAAGTATAGAGGGGGGAAGCTGGGTACGGAGGAAGAACATATGACGTGGAGTCCAAACACTGGACTTGGAGTCTTGACCTTGTTCCTTTTTAGTTGCATTGTTTAAAGCCCCTGGGCCTCAACTTCGTGCTGATAAATTGGGGAGTGTGAAATGCTGGCTTCCCAGGGGTGTTATTAGTGAGAACCTAAGGAAGGGTAAGTGTCTGGATTAAGTTCTTAGTTGTAAGAGGAATATTTTATTCCACCTTGTGGATTTTTGTTGTGTGCATCTCCTCAGCGATTCAATGACATCCTATACTCATCTTTCTCCTAGCACTTATCACACTGTCTTGTCCTGGTCTGTTTTTTGTCTTTGTTTTTTTACAGAGAGGAAGGGAGAGAGATAGAGAATTAGAAACATCGATGAGAGAGAAACATCGATCAGCTGCCTCCTGCACACTCCCTACTGGATATGTGCCTGCAACCAAGGTACATGCCCTTGACCAGAATCGAACCTGGGGCCCTTGAGTCTGCAGGCTGACACTCTATTCACTGAGCCAAACCGGTTAGGGCTGTCCTGGTTTGTTTTATATCTCTGTCTCAAAAGACTGTGAGCTCCTTAGAGCAGAATTGGACATGATTTGCCTCTGCATCTTCAGGGCCTGAAGCAGGGTAGGCCCTCAATAAAGGACAAGTGCATGCATGAATGAATGGCAGCTTATGCCACCTGGTGCCATTTTATGCATGCCTTGCCCCCAACCTGCATGGAAAGCTTTCATGTAATGACATGCATGCATTTGTTCTCAGTCATGTGCTTCCCAAAGAATGACTGGGGTTGGGGTCATTTTGTTTCCAGAATGCTGCACTATTTTGGTGGAACCTGCATAAGAGTGGTGAAGGGGATGGCGACACACTTCATGCTGGCTGTCCTGTCCTGGTGGGAGATAAGTGGGGTAAGGCCTGCCTTTCTGGGTGTAAGAATGAGGTGAGGGGTTCATAGTGAAGTGAAATAGGGGTGGATGGAAAATAGCGGTCCTCTCACTCTAAAAGCTTCATTGCAGTGCCACATTATAGTGAGATGATCAAACTCTGGGGTAGTTGCCCCAAACAAATTGGGAGCCCACAAAGGGCAGGGATCTGTCACAGAGCAGGTGCCAGTAAAGGCTACTGACCTGACAGACAGGCCTGGATTCCTGAGTACAGCTGAGGAGGCAGATGGTGCTGAGTCCTAGTCCTGTATCCCAGGGAGAGACCCATTCAGTGCCTCTCCATGAGGAGATGGTCAAACAAGGAAGAGATAAATAAGTAGGGGACGTGTTTATGTAATATGTGTGTCCAATAGCACTTAGCTCTGAATACAGAAAAAGGAGAGGGACTCTCATGCTGAGATGGACACTGCCAGGAAGGGCCACGCTTCTCTCTCATTACTCTGGAGTGGCACCATGGGGGAGGAGGTCGGCTCTTAGGAGCTACATGAATGAAAGATGACTGACCTCAGAACCCACAGGTTTGAAAACTCATCTATAGTAGACAGGGCCTGGCAGGACTTTTCCTAGGGGTCAGTGTCCTCTTTGCTATTTATCTCTGCTAGAAGCAACATCTTCTAGTCTGTAGCAGGACTGGGACCAGAGTCAGGCAAGTGAGTTGCCTGGGTGCAGAATTTAAGGGTGCAGCCCTGTGGTGAGCACTGCCACTGTTCGCTCTGCTGAGCCTGCTTTCCTCCTCCCCATTCTCCCCCAGTGGCCAACAAGTGGATACACGAGTATGGGCAGGAATTCCGCAGACCCTGCAGCTCAAGCCCCGAAGACTAACATGTTGGCAGAGAGAAGTTGATGATGTCCCATGTCTTTCCAGGCAAGCCAGAAGCCAAAGCGAGGGATTGGAGAGGAGAAAGGAGAGCATCCTTCTGCAAATGGGAGGCAGGGAAGTGGTCTTTATCAGGGCTCACCTGAGAATTCACTGAGAAACCATTCACACTGTTTCTTCTCCAGGCATGGGCACAGTAGAAGGGACAATACAAAGGGTAGGGCAAAAGGCTGGAGAGAGGTTTCTGGAGATCAGATATCTCTGTTGGGAACAGGATATATCAATGGTCTCTGGGGCTTGGTCAGTGGGGCTTTTGCCTTTTTGAACCTTGACCCCAGGGTCCCATAGGTGCAGTGAGGACACCTGCAGGAAGGGCTGGCCGGCTCCCCCGGCTTTTTGCCCTTCAGCCCACTGACTTGTGCTGAAGCCTAAGCAATCAGTATCTCCGTATCAGGAGTGTACTTCATATGAAAATTTTTTAAAGCATAAAGCAATTTTTTTTGTATGACAATTTTTAAATACTGTTATTAAAAAGGTTTACAAATCATTTCCATACCGAGAATATTCTTACATTATAATATTAAGTGAAAGAAGCAGAATGCAAACTTTTTATTTATGCCATAATCTCAACTTGGCTCACCTCCCACCACTCCCCTCTCACTCCGTTCCAGACACATAACATTATTTATTTTCTTTTGTTTAAAAAATATTTTTATTTATTTCAGAGAGGAAGGGAGGGTGAGAGGGAGAGAGAGAAACATCAATGATGAGAGAGAATCATTTATCGGCTGCCTCCTGCACACCCCATACTGAGTTCGAGCCCACAACCCAGGCAACATGTGCCCTGACTGGGAATCGAACCGGTGACCTCTTGGTTCATAGGTCAACACTTAACCGCTGTCCCATACCGGCCAGGCACATGACATTCTTTCTGTTCCTCAAAACCATCATGCTCAGCGCCCTCAGCACAATTCCTGCTTTCCAGACCTTTGTATTTGCAGCTCCCTCAACTCCCCCCTGGCCAAACTCTTCTCATCATTTCACTCTTGGCTTAATGTCACCTCAGAGAGGCCTTCCCTGATTACCCAGCCTTCTAGCCAGTGTCCTTCAGATTCACTACTTTTATTTTCTTTATAACAAGTTTCTCAAATTGAAATTACTTGATTCATTTGTTTGATTGTGGCCAATTGCCTTCCCTGCAGGATGAGTGCTTTAAGACCCCACTATGTTTTGTAAATGCCTCTATTACAGCTCTGAGCTCACTGAATTTCAGTATTTATTTGCCTGGCTGTTCACATTACACTCTGGGCTCCTCATTCCTCTTGGTGTCCCCAGAGGAAGGTCTGGTTTGAAATAAGTAGGCTTTTGGCAAACATTTTGGATAAATGAATAAGAAGGCATCCTTTGAGCTGTGCTTTGGGGGACGGGTAGAATTTTAACAGGCAGAGTTTTAATGAGAAGCATTTCCCAGTGGAAGGACGAGCATGCACCATCGTTGCGTTGATGGGTGACTGTAGCATGCGAGCACCTGTGCACAGAGGACAGTCCAGGCGCCTTGGCTCAAGCTCCTCAAAAAAAAGCGAGGTGTGTCTCGCTTGCTCACAAAGAAACCACACAGTGAAATGACTGGGCGGTGAGACACTGCCGCCTCCATCCCACCCTGCACCGTGCACATCACGATTTCTGCTTCCAAGAGCTCTGCAGCCCCCAAGACCTAGGGTTCTGATGTGCTGATGCACCGCGTCCTGCAGAGCCTCAGTGAGCGTCTGCTCACATCCCAGTATTTCTGCTGAGCGAGCCTGGGTTCTGGAAATCATCTCACTAAGTTATTTTTATGTAGGAAAGGAAAAACAATTTTCCCTGTACCTTCTGTGTTCGTAGCTGAGACCTCTGCAATTAACAGATTAACCAGAAGAAACACGCATAAGTTGGAAATGAGTAGCTCCCAGCAGTGTCGGGAATTCAGGCTTAACTACCACCCGAATAGAGAAAGGGGAGGGAGGGTGTAGGCCTCCCTAGGAAAGATGAGTGGGCCCTTAGAGAACAGATGGGAAGGAGGTATGATAGTTTGCGATCGTTGGACTGGGTGTGGTGTCCATTTCTCGTCTCCTCTCCTGTGCTGAGTCAATTCCCAGTATTTCTGCTGAGCGAGCCTGGGTTCTGGAAATCATCTGACTAAATTATTTTTATGTAGGAAAGGAAAAATAATTTTCCCTGTACCTTCTGTGTTCGTAGCTGAGACCTCTGCAATTAACAGATTAACCAGAAGAAACACGCATAAGTTGGAAATGAGTAGCTCCCAGCAGTGTCGGGAATTCAGGCTTAACTACCACCCGAATAGAGAAAGGGGAGGGAGGGTGTAGGCCTCCCTAGGAAAGATGAGTGGGCCCTTAGAGAACAGATGGGAAGGAGGTATGATAGTTTGCGATCGTTGGACTGGGTGTGGTGTCCATTTCTCGTCTCCTCTCCTGTGATGAGTCAATCTTTCCTGCTTGATGAAACTCCCAAGGGGGATTCATGACCACTGCGTTCCTTTTGGAGGATGTGTCTTTATGCAGATAAGCAATTCAGAGAAAGTCTCCCTCTGCATTTGCTGTTTTTCAAAATAATCAGTATGCCCGAGCAACGGTGTGGCATGCTCTGCTACCCACGTTCCGCTACCCTGACCGCCTGCCTCCTCCTGCTCCAGAGGAACGGGCCTGAGGCAGAAAGCTGTCTGCGGGCAACTCGCCTCCGCTTTCTTCCTGCTGCGGGGATCAGACCGGGCCTTCTCGGCCCGTGGGGTGGGTCTGAGCTAACAGCAGCAGTGGTGAAGTTGATGAGTTTCCCATGTGACGGGCACCTTTCCAAGGGCTCATGTGAGTTAATGAAACTTTAAAGGCTTGATGAATTCACACTGACCCCAAGCCTATGAGGTCGATCAGTTATTATCCTCGTTTTACAGAAAAGAAGACAGAGTTAGAGAGTTAGGTTACTTGCTATAATCCCACATTTTGGCTCTAAACCTTGTGCTTTGAACCACTACTCTCGCAGTATCTAAGAGGTGACAATTTTCAAACACCCAAGTGACTGAAATTCAAGAACTGTCTGGCTGCAAATGAAGCAACAATGACTTACAGAGCATTCGCAGGCCCAGGCCCTAGCCCAGGTGTGCTGTGGGAGTGAGAAGTGCTGGATCCAGTCAGCTAGTAGGGAGATGAGACATTCATCCAGGGTTAAATGTTAGTGAAACACGATATGAAAATGTTGCATGCAATAAGAGATGAATTATTGAATGCTTCAATTAAGAGCTGAAGGGGTCACTGTGGCTTGGGATAGTTGCGATAGCCTCATTTGTTTATTCAAATGACATTACCAAGGTGCAAGCTCAGTGCCAGGCCTTTAGGAACACCAGGAATGGAAAGGAGAATTCCATGCCGACCCTGCCCAGACCCTCAGATCATCACAAGACAACGTAGTTATAGGTGGAGACAGAAGCAGAGCACTGAGGCTTCAGGGTAAGGAGAGGCTGACCAAGTCTTGATGACATGGAGCGGTCCTGGGAAGGGTTTTTAGAGGTGCAGAAAGAGGAGCAGGGTGGGGAGGAATGACTCTCTCTAGAGCTACAAATAGTACCACCTTACTTTTGGCCAGTATGTTAGTTTTAAAATCATTTCAGCGTTCCTTCTCTTGAGCCTCACCTACCAGGGAAGAAAGATGAGCAGGCATTGTAGAAAGCAAGTCCAGAATGGTTAGTGGCCTGCCTGGGGTGACACAGCAGAGCTTGGCCCGAGACCTGGTCTTCTGACTCGCTCACCAGTGCTCTTTCCACTGGATGGCCCTCAAAGCTATGTCCCTTCATTGCACCACAGGTGGAGAGTGGAAAGACCTTATTCTTTTATATTTGCACGAGTTTCCATGCCCTGGGAAACTGACTAGTCCTTCAACAAAGTGGTGAGGCTGAGGGGCCCCAAACATCGCTTAGTGGTTAGGTAGCTAATTATAAGTAGGACTGACCGTGGCTAGGGGCATAGCTTATTTATAATTTTCTTTTTTTCTTTCTTGTACTGTTCTTCAACCATTTTTCTAACAGCTTCGTCCACCCTGGGCTCTTGACATTGCATTATATATCCCTCACAAGCTTCACTCCAGGGCATGTTCTTTACATAATGACTGTTATCATTATCCTCACAACTTCCCCCCCCCCCCCCCCGGG